GCACCTCTGGACTCGGCAGGTGACAGCCTGGCACCTCTAGAACTTGGCAGTTCAGAGCCCCGGCGCTTCTGGGCCTGGCAGTTCAGAGCCCTGGCACCTCTGGGCTTGCTGCATCAGTTATGAAAGTAAAAAAGTTGCTTGAGCCCCGGCACCTCTATAAATTAAGCACTGTCCCAAATCATTCTCCTCTCTGATTTGCCTGGGCCAGGTTCCCCTCCCTGGGCATGGCCCAGAATTTCTTCTAGGAGGGAATAAAAATTCAGTTCAGGATCTTCTGCATAGCAAGGACAAGGTCACCAGAAGCCTTAAAACCCAGGATAAACCTTCGCTCTCCAGAGCTTTAAAAAGAACATATAAAAGGTGATTTCAGACTGTTCGGAGAGTGGCCAATAGCATCCACCCACCCGGCCTGCTCCCAGGTGCTGCTCCCAGACCCTCTCGCGGTGTGCATAGAAATCCAGCTCAGGTTCTTGGCTCCCAAAGGTCTTGCCCAGGAGTTGCTGGGGTGGCTTCTATCAGGTGACACTCCCTGCAGCAAGGACGATCGGGCCCTCTGAAGACACCATTTGTGTGGATCATGCTCTGGCAAGCTTTGTATTATTTTATCAGCAACCCCATTAATCTGGCCTGAGTTTCTTTCCCCCAGTGGTGCTGGCAGCCTGCACACTGGGGTTAGCAGCGTTTTGTACCTTTAAATCGTCAAAGTGCTGCCTACACGTTGGTAATTCCTGTACCATTACCCCATTTTACTGAGCCAAGAGAGGGGGCACACCCTGACCTGGGGCTACACAGCAAGATGGGGTTAGGTCTTTGGGGTCCAGCTGCTCAATCCTGCACTCACCCCATGCATCCACGCAGCCTGCTTTGAACACCTTCAGCTTCCTACCAGCCTCCTCCTGATTCTCACTGCATAGTTAGCCTGGGCTCTTACCCTGGTGTTGCCCCAACCCCCTTCCCGTCCACACACAAAACCCTCTCACCCAAGTTTGATAGTCCTTTCAACCCAAGCTAGCTGGCCCGGCTGGGGGTAGGTTAGAACCTGGGTGCTGCTTTCAATCAGGGCTGGTAACCTGCCTGCTTTGCAATGAGGATGCAAGCTAAATCACTGGAGGGCTGGGTATGCTCCTATGCCTTCCCACAATTCCCTGTGTGCCCAGAGGACAGACAGGATCTCCCACAGTTCACTGGGAAAGTGTCAGAGGTTGGCTCAGCTCACTGCAGCATGAAGAAATGTGGGAGAGGCCCCCAGAAACCCTAGCTGACACACACAGGGGAGCGCAGCACCAGTGAGGACACAGTCGCTCCAGTGCGGCTGCTCACACCCAGGCCAGGCTAGCCCTGGTGCCAATTGCCCAATGAAGACACACTCTCAGTGATGCCACATTGCTGTGGCTGATGTCACAGTCGTTTGCCACAGTGATGGCAGATTGTGGCATCAGTAGCTGGGGAAGGAGAGGAAACGGCTGGTTTAAAAAAAAAAAAAAAGACCAGGGTATGGGGAGGATCATCTTGGTGCCTAAATACCATCTTAGCTGGGTCTGTGAGAGGTATCTGACTGGAGCAGTCAGCAAAGCATGATGGGAAAAGAAGCACATCTGAGGTGCCCCAGCAGGTCACGCCTGGTCCCCACTGCCAATAGCTGAAGCTTCAAAGGACAACATGAATCCCCCACCGTGCAGCTGGCTCTTCATGCTGCACTGTGCTTTGGGGATAGTGCTCCCCGCCCCCCTGCAACCCAGCGCCCCGAAGCATGACATCTGATGACCCCTTCGTTACATGGAGTTACTTGTCATAACGCTTGACAACCCTGGTAGAGTGGGTGGCTCAGACCTAGGGCAGCAATGGGGCTTGTTCACTATGCCCGGTCTGACAAAATACTGCTTTGTCCTGGTTTTTAACTTTCTGGCCACAAACTTCATTGATCTGAGAAGAGTTTGACTGGGTTTTAGTAAGAGCCCGGATTGTTTTCCCCCAACGCTTAGTCGAAGGTGCCGCTTACACTGCAAGAACCTAATCTGGGGTCGTCCAGGTCGTTTGGTTATTTATCCCCCATGACGCCCAACTGAAAGTTAGCAGAAAACAAACCCCGTGTTTCACTGGCTTTAGATGCCGACTGTCCAGCCTAGCCAGGTGGAAAGGGGCTTTCAGCAGCACATGCCAGCAGGAAGAGAGGTTTGTCATTATCTACCTGCAGAGCACTGGAGGCAGGCCCCAATCTGCTGGAAGCCCATGGCCAACGTTTTCAAAAGGGAGCCCAGCCTGAGACTCCTTACAGAGGCCTGATTTTCCAGAAGAGCTGAGCAGCTGCCTTCAGAAAAGCAGGACTCTTTAAGGTGTTTTGCATTGGGCACCCAACATCACTAGTCAGCTTGGACATCTTGGCCTATATGCCCATATTTGGGGGCCATCTACACTCCAAGTCTCATGGTAGCAGGGCACAGCTGCCTTGCGGTGCTAGGGGTGCTCATGTTCTAACAACCCTTTTTGTTTGTAACATG